ATGCGAACAAACATACCGTCATTTAAGACTGGTGGTTCTGGAGAAGTAACGAAAACGCTGTTTACTAGCGAGGGAGTACAGCCGGGATCCCAGTGTACATCATGTGCCCTGTTGTAACCTCTGTATGTTTCCGTAAAAGCCTTATAGAAAATTGATATCCTAAATTTAATTAAATACTGACTTACTCTTTTGCTAAATCACCTTTGATCCATTTGCGAACGGAGAATCCTGCAGGAAAAAAAGTACCGAAAAAGACAATGGTGAGCGAAATATATATTTCTGGTTTATTAGCCGTCATCAGCTCCGGTTTTGAGCACCAGAGACAGCAAAACAGACCCGTGGCCCAATCCTATAGCGCTTGCTTCCGTGGCCAAAGATCCCGGTTTCTAATCCTAAGTGCCCTAACCTGGGGTTGGATGTGGCTGGCTGATGACGGCTTACAAACCAAAAATGATCATTTAAGACTCCCCTTTTCAGGACCTCGTTTCTGCATAAATTACTTGTTATGCGACTGTCTGTGAGGGCTCTAGATTGAGCCCTAAGACGCAACTGAAAGAGCATGTCATGTAACCCGATCAGTAAACACCCATTCTACAGTAATTAGGTAACGGCTGTACTAGGTTGCTTCTAAAAATGGTTGAGTTTGCTTCGACTTCATTTGTCTGCCACCAGCGGAAATTTAAACAGGCGACGCTTGTTGAAACTACACCGAAAAGTCTAGATTAAGATATTATCTGCAGACAGTTAACAATAACCGTAACTTGGAGCTGATGTGAACGATGATTAGATTACCAATTCAATAATTCGAGGAAAATTGAATCTGCTTTCCATAGGAAGCTTTTGTGTCGCACAAAAATCTGAGCTTCTCGCAGCTCTCGGTGTTGTTCGGCTTAGAGCTTATCGTTTTGGTCTGGTCTACCTTTATCTTCTTTTGGTTATGTTAACTGCGGCCATCCTGCTGTTGTCCCCCCCCCCGTGTAAGTGGTGGGTAAATACCTAGGAGATCGGGGCATCAAAGGTGCTGATCATTTGAATTGCCTGATCACATAGACGAGTTACCACCACCGCTATCATGCACGAGGCAGGACAAAAAAGCTGCCTAAACAGAGCTGATAAACTAGTAAGACTTGTACGGTCGAGTTTATTCTTTGTGAAGCACCCAAGTTGAGGATGGCTGGCAGTCTCCTATGAAATATCAGCCACTTAATAATGCTGTTTCAATCTCATATTTTTGTATCAACAACTAGAATTCATTTTTATTTTGAATGCATTTTCTGACTTCGGGCAATGGTAGAGTAAACTGCTGGTTGTCAGGTAAAGCCTCAAACTATCTTCTGGAATACTGTCCTCTCGCGCTCATTAGTATCGTCATCTAAATACTACAAACTCATTCTTCGTATCTATAGTTTTCCAAAGTCACAGCGGGTTGCCCGGAATGTTGTGCATTCCCCGTGCGCTCTCTGAACTTATATTTCTAAGTGCCATGCCCAACCTCAGCTTTCTAAACTTACTAAGCTTGAATTCTAAAAAATGGTCTGACGGTTGGACGACCGCGCAAAGCGGCTCCCCAATTACTTCGTAAATGTGGTTATTTTTTTCAATGTTTCAGGGAACAGTGAAACAGCGCGCCTTCGAGGGTATGCAGGTGAAAGTTTGTCCGACCGAACTGTTTGCCCGCGAGCTGTTTCGGAAACGTGATGTTGAACATTACTGGGACATGGCATACAGCGGTGCCGTTCTCGAATCCGTTGGCCAAGTTGTTGACTAGTCTTTCTACAGTTCCTGTATTTTACCACTTTATCTGCAGCGC